ATGAATTTATAAACGTACATATGTTTGAGCATTTGTAGACACACGGCAGCAGACTGTGTGGGCAGACAGTGTGGGCAAACAAGTAGATGCAGCAGCAGACTGTGCAGACATGCAGACACAGCAGCAATGCGGACAGACAACCAGTGAAGATAAACAAGTGGATGTAGCAGCAGACAAGCAGACGCAGCAGCAGATATGTGGGCAGACAAGCAGACGCAGCAGTAGAGTGTGGGTAGGGCAGCAGACATGGTCAGGCAGTCAGGGTAACAAGCATAACAACTCGCACCATCAACTAACACCACTCACATTATCGCCACTATTAAAATCCTCCACATTTACCAAAATACACTTGACTGTTTTCAGATAATTGATTTACAGTGGTTCCAGTAAAAATAACATGAAGGTATATTGGAAAGGGAGAAAAAAGAATTATGTATTATTTATATTATTATTATTATTTATTATTATTATTATTATTATTATTATTATTATTATTATTATTATTACTGCACACTGAAAAAAAAAACAGAGGTTTAGTTAACCTGCTGGCAACCAGATATTTAGTACTCGTACAGCTACTAACAAGATATGTACTCATATATACTCAACAATACATGTAAGTACTCGTACAATCAGCAACAAGACATGAAGTTGTCTTATATACCCAACAACAAGACATGTAAGTACTCATACATACAGTCAGCAACAAGACATGAAGTTCTCTTATATACCCAACAACAAGACATGTAAGTACTCATACAGTCAGCAACAAGACATGAAGTTCTCTTATATACCCAACAACAAGACATGTAAGTACTCATACAGTCAGCAACAAGACATGAAGTTCTCTTATATACCCAACAACAAGACATGTAAGTACTCATACAGTCAGCAACAAGACAGCTAAGTACTCTTATACTCAGCAACCAGACATTTAGTACTCGTTCAGCGAGTAATGGAAGACCTGTGTCAGCTAAAATCATTTACTACCAGCGGTATACAAAAAATAAAAACAGCCCGCTACGTAAACAGATGTCAAGGGTGAGACTTACCGAGGACGAAGGTACCGTAGGAACGGCGTGTCTCTTCCTGCCAACAAAAGACCACTCTTGTCCTGCAAACAGAAGACCACTGTTGTCCTGCAAACAGAAGACCACTGTTGTCCTGCCAACAGATCATTGTTGTCCTGCCAACAGAAGACTGTTGTCCTAAAAAAAAGTATACCATCTGTTGTCCTGCCAACAGACGAAGATTGTTGTCCTGAAGACGGTAAAAAACCGTTGCAGCTTTCTAATATAAGACCAAAGATTAACACAGCATTTTTCCTTCCAGCATCCAAGAAACAGAATCCTGAACACTAAGTCAGCGGACTTGCTCCGCCCTACTTCCAGACCGGGCCCTGGAGACTTACGGACGATGGCTAGTGATAGCCCCTTCTGTGTCTGGACATATAGCCACGTCTGGATTGCTGTATGTCATGTCTTTTTTTTTTTGTTCAGGTGTAGGTTTGTGTATGTCATGTTATGACTCTGTTTCTATGCCTTGTCTGGGTTTCGAGATCAATGTGTGTGTGTGTGTGTGTGTGTGTGTGTGTGTGTGTGTGTGTGTGTGTGTGTGTGTACTCACCTAGTTGAGGTTGCGGGGGTCGAGTCCGAGTTCCTGGCCCCGCCTCTTCACTGATCGCTACTAGGTCACTCTCCCTGAGCTGTGAGCTTTATCATACCTCTGCTTAAAGCTATGTATGGATCCTGCCTCCACTACATCGCTTCCCAAACTATTCCACTTACTGACTACTCTGTGGCTGAAGAAATACTTCCTAACATCCCTGTGATTCATCTGTGTCTTCAGCTTCCAACTGTGTCCCCTTGTTACTGTGTCCAATCTCTGGAACATCCTGTCTTTGTCCACCTTGTCAATTCCTCTCAGTATTTTGTATGTCGTTATCATGTCCCCCCTATCTCTCCTGTCCTCCAGTGTCGTCAGGTTTATTTCCCTTAACCTCTCCTCGTAGGACATACCTCTTAGCTCTGGGACTAGTCTTGTTGCAAACCTTTGCACTTTCTCTAGTTTCTTCACGTGCTTGGCTAGGTGTGGGTTCCAAACTGGTGCCGCATACTCCAATATGGGCCTAACATACACGTGCGTGCGTGTGTGTGTGTGTGTGTGTGTGTGTGTGTGTGTGTGTGTGCAAGATCATGTCTTTGTTTGTTGATGCTGTACAATAGATCCAAAAGGCCTAGTGGTTTTTACTTTTTCTCAGTGAAATCTCACACATAATTTACACTAAATATACGCTTAAGCTATGTGTATATACCTTGTACATGATCTATAAACACACTATATACACACATTGTGTACACACTGTTCTTGTAAATATAGACTAAGTAGTGATTTTTACTTCCTAGTGAAGAATAATGGGCATGATATGCATATATTGAGGTATATATAAACGCCTAATGTAGGAGGATCTGGTAGACAGTATTGTGTAATTAGTGTGGCACTATTATTATAGGGAATTATGAAGGATTTATTATAAGGCTTTATGGGGGTACTATTACAGTACGTTATAATGAAATGCTGTTGTTATTACGGATTATTATGGAGTACTTTTATTAAAGAACATTATGAAATATTATTACAGAATGTGATATTTTTATTATTATAGATTATGGTGAACTATTACAAGGAAATACGATGGTTTAGTGGGTAGCTAAAATTGCTACCAAAAAAGCGATATACGTACTATCTAGCGGAGTGATAAGAATTTCAGTGAAGGTCTTATGCTGTAAGAGCTTCACTGTAGTGTGGTAAGCTTATTAATTTGCATTTATTCCCATAATACACACCAAAAAATATTAAGAGTAACAAGACGCGTTTCATTAAGAGTAAAGTTCCCTGACCTTGGGTAGGACAGAGTAAGTATTGTCAAGTCAACCTTGTGGAGGGAACACATCGACTCCCCGCTACTTTACCAGGGATTTGAAGTTGTTTGCCTGGGCATTTTATCCTTGTCAAAGTTAAGTGATAACTCACATGGAGATAGAAATTTAGCAAACAGTGCTCGTCCACATGTTTTGACCTCCAGCTATTACAAAATTACACTTACGCTACAAGGCTTTGACTTATGTATTAGGATATCTTGGGTAAATGGTGTTTTGACTTTTATATACACATATACAATAAATAATATATATAATTTCGCCCGTTTGCGAATTGTTAAGCATTTCGAAATCTGCTACAAAATCTGAATGTGGCAGAGTTTGATGAAATAACTTATCACAAGCCCCGAGGCTTGTGATAAGTTACGGGGGCGTTGACCCCCGGAACTTCCTTCAGGTATACTCCTCTAGGTAAGCCTGGTCATGGACGTGGCCACGGGGGCGTTGACCCCCGGAACTTCCTTCAGGTATACTCCTCTAGGTAAGCCTGGTCTGGGGTTCGGCTGTGGCTCAAGCACTCTGTACTCTGATGCAGAGTATGCAGGCTCGAATCCTGCTATGGACTGAGAGATAATGTGGTTCGTACGCTGAGCTGCATGCAGCCAACAAGAACAGCCTTGATGATCAGATCCTAATCCATCAGGAGGCCCGGTGGGACAGGGTCCCCAAGGACTTTGACATTCAAAAACATCCTTAAGGAAGGTTACGTAGTACGATGCCTTCACTCTACTAATGCTCTCTGATGCATACAAAAAAGTGAATAGCCTTCATTTATTTAAACAAGGGAAGAACTAAGAATAAAAAAATAAGACCTTGATTAAATAAAATAATATAAATATTTCAAATAATAGACATTACTTAATGTGTTCAAACTGGTCTGTTTTTATACAGAAATTAATTTTTAGAAGATTCTTGTTTACTAGTTACCATCTTTCATTGTTTGAGAAATGTTAATAATTTTTTGGATAATAAACTGCTACCTATGGCTATAATTATATTAAACTGCCTTATTTTGAGTTGCAGTATTAAAAAACACTGTTTAAAACTTACAAATGAGTTAATCACAAATTAAATTTATCTTTGTTTATTCCTTCACAAGTGCTTAATGACAATGTATCACCAGTTGGATAAGTTATAGTGAAATGGTTGTGTCCCACGAAAAGCTTTTATGATTTATAGATGTGGTAGAAAAAAACCATACCCCCGGCTGGGATTGAACCCGCGGTCATAGAGTCTCAAAACTCCAGCCCGTAGATGTGGTTGGGTCTGGAGTCTCCATGTGGCCACTACCTGGCTGTCTCCCTCCTCCTGAGGTAACTCTCTTCACTGTATTCTTTTAGCGTTTATACTGTTTTAACTTATTATTTAACAATCTGTTTATATATTGTGTATCAGTGTAATGTTTTATATATATATCCTGATGATCGTGAATGGTCGTCGAAACGTTGAATTTTTATCAAAATTACGTTAAATCACGGGAAAGCGGAAGACAGTCATACAGCACCTGGAGTTTACCTGGAGTTTACCTGTGGGATAGGAGGAAATAGTTTAATGTGAAGAAAGGGGATATGGTTGTTTTATTTCACTGGATAAAGATATCTTCTCGTGTATTAAGGCATCTTCCTCTTTAAGTGTCAAGTTTGAAGGATAACTTTTGCTGCAACGTTCGTATTAACTTGAGGGATCTGGAGATGCATCACACCTTCAGGTATTTGAGGAAGATGTTAGTATACATACTTATCTGGGAATACATATGCCACCATTTGAGAAATATATTCGTAAGTTTATTGATCTAGAGATGCATATGACACCGTCAGACGTTTAAGGAAGATGTTTAAAGCCTCGCACGTGCATTGGTCATTCAAGCTGAAATATACTCTTACGCTAACATGAAGAATACTTCATTCCCTAAAACAGGTATGATGACAAACTTTCAGTGTATTTACAGTGAGAAAGACATCTTGAGTGTACAAGAGTGGACGGCTGCGACAGGTTTGTACGTACACGTGGTGAGGCGGTGTCTGGCAACAGTCTGGGAGTTGAGTGCTGGACTCCTCTAGTGACTCCACAGTGTCGCCTTGGCTGTCGAGGGGAGGGTGTACTGTGGTTCTCCTGTGCGAACACTAAGAGTGGTGGGCAGGTTACTCTCTCCACCAGGTCATGTTACTCTTACCATTGTCATCTCCGCTACCACTTGTCACTTAATGCTGCCCCTGTCATCCCCGGAATACACTCTTTTATCCTAGCATGAATAATATATCGTGTTGAATTTTGCACCCGCGTCTCCACTGTAGGAGACTATTTATTTGTGAATTCTGTATGTGCTTCTGGGGTACATAGTGAAGATGTCACATAGGGAGTGTGTGTGTGAGGTGTGTAGTGTAGAGTAGAGTAGCAGACGACCTGGTGGCACCCAGCCCGCCCTACTTCTGCTTCTTGTTATTCATTGATCAGTACTACCATGGAAGCTAGAAGTCCGAGAGGAAGCCTGGGGTGTGCGAGGAGTGGCAGCAGCAGTAGTGAGAAACACACACTGAGGAGGGTGCCAGTGCCAGACACACTATGCCACCCACCACACAACCAAAACAAACCCTCCAGCCTCAGTAGGGGCGTATACACCACGCGCAGGCAGCTGTCGACCTTATGTCCCCGGGAAGGGCTCCATGTACCGTCTATCCTCGTTCTGGTGACGGTGGTGACGAGCCTGCTAGTGCCAGGGGCATGGGGGCACCCTCTCGGTGCCAGTGGGCACGTCTGGCAGCCATGGGACTCCAGAGAGAAGAGAGAGATCATCAGTGATGACACAGTAGGTGCCATTGACCCCTTGTGTTCTCTTAATACCTACCACCAGTGCCTCGACACAGGTGCATTTTATAGTCATGAACAAATAATTCCTATGGAAATAAATCACTTTAACTTTTTGGGGGGAAGGGTTATCCTGCTGTATGACCCTTGCAGGTTTAACGCTTGGTTATGATTATAATTATTTGGATTAACCTAGTTTATACTATGTATGGCAATTGTACTTTGTATATAATGTACCTCAGTAAACCTACTAAGAGGTTACAACAGCTGTACAAATTACTATAAAATCTACACTGAAGGTGCGAGGGTACATTTTTTGTAATATACTGCTTAAGTACAAGTACATTTTGAACTTCTAACAATTAAACTGTATCCTTGAATAAATAATAAATACACAAAACGTCATTATATAATGCGTGTGATAACAGCTGGAGTGTTGCAATGTAACCTCTTTCACCTAGACTAAGTTGCCAGGATATATAATAATGCTACTTTCACTTTTTTTATGCAAATGAACAACACATCAGCAAGGGCTATCAACATTTACTTAAAGAATAAAGCCTGTTCACTGCATCATTGATGGCGATGCATTAATAAGGATTATAATGTAAATAAGCCAGACGTGGCTTTACTGGGTTATCTTGGGGTTGCTAACCCTTTGGGTTAACCAGAATGAAATCTTTAGTTTTCATTTTTAAATACCTTTGTATATGATTAACATGGATTACTGAAACGTATTGAACACTTGTCAGTGTTCAATAATAACCCAAATTGAGACGGAAACTCAGATTAATTGATCCGTGTATTTCGATCCCCTTCTGGAATCCTCTTCAGGAGCTAAAGAGGATCCCAGAAGGGGATGGAAATATACAGATTAATTAATCATCAGAATTTGTCTCCATGTGGGTTATTATTGAGCATGAGTAACGTGTTTTCCATAGTTACCTATTCACCTTGACATCTATAATGAAATTGTGTTCTTGCAATTGCATATGCAACAATACTATTATAGCTAATAATAATTAGTTTAATGACAGTGTTGCGTAGCGTGTTAGTCATGAAGACACACTAGGCAGGTTATCATAGTTAAGTGACAGGGCAGTATATTTACTCTTCTTTCCTCCTGTGTTATTATGCATCCCAGTGTTGGGAGAGTACAAATTGTTGAGTTTTATTTTGTCATGCAGATGTTATTAGAGCTTAAAACTTTCGTTTGCTTAAGCTTAAATTTCGTTACATTAAATCTGGAAATCGTGTACATTAATCGATTAAATTTAGTCATTTAGGTTATTATTGAATTTGGTAGTGCATAGGTGATTGGCATTTGCTTTATAAGTAATTAAGACTACCACAAAAATAAATCAAACACGGTAGTGACGCTTTGAAAGAATGATCGAATAGGTCTTAATTCAGAATATTGTCTGGATCATTAAAAAGCTCCATCCTGTCACTTCATCTCCATATTGTTTCATACTATGGAACAATGCTCTTCTCCAGACTGAACATAAGAACATAAGAACGAAGGAACACTGCAGAAGGCCCACTGGCCCATGCGAGGCAGGTCCAAGTCTCCTACCGGCTTAAGCCAATGCACCCAACCTAGTCAGGTCAGGTCACATTGACTTAAGGGAGGAACACGGCAACCGACCTGGTAGCACAAGCTATCAGGTCTAACTCACACCCACCCACATCCACTCATGTATTTATCCAACCTATTTTTAAAGCTACACAACGTTCTGGCCTCTATAACGGTACTTGGGAGTTTGTTCCACTCATCCACAACTCTATTACCAAACCAGTACTTTCCTATATCCTTCCTGAATCTGAATTTTTCCAACTTAAAACCATTGCTGCGAGTCCTGTCTAGGCTAGATATTTTCAGCACACTATTTACATCCCCTTTATTTATTCCTGTCTTCCATTTATACACCTCAATCATATCCCCCCTAATTCTACGTCTTTCTAGAGAGTGCAGATTCAGGGCCCTTAGTCTATCCTCATAGGGAAGGTTTCTGATACATGGGATCAACTTTGTCATCCTCCTTTGTACATTTTCCAGAGAATTTATATCCATTCTGTAATAAGGTGACCAAAACTGTGCAGCATAATCTAAATGAGGCCTAACCAAGGATGTATAGAGTTGAAGAACAACCTGAGGACTCCTATTATTTATGCTTCTTGATATGAAGCCAAGGATTCTATTAGCTTTATTGCGAACACTTATGCACTGTTGTCTTGGTTTCAGATTACTGCTAACCAGAACTCCTAAATCTTTTTCGCAATCCGTAATATTAAGATCTACATTATTTAGTTTATATGTGGCATGGTTATTGTCCTGTCCAACATTTAGAACTTTGCATTTGTCTATATTAAACTGCATCTGCCACTTCTCCGACCACTGCATCAGTCTATTCAAATCTTCCTGGAGTGCTCGAATGTCCTCGTCAGAATGAATTCGACGGCCTATTTTGGTGTCATCGGCAAACTTGCCGATGTCGCTCTTTATGCCCTCATCTATGTCGTTTATGTAGATTGTGAACAGCAGGGGGCCCAACACTGACCCCTGTGGAACACCGCTCGTGACACTTCCCCACTCTGATTTCTCCCCATTTATGCAAACTCTCTGCTGCCTATTTGTCAACCATGCCTCTATCCAGGAAAAAATTTCTCCTCCTATTCCATGTGCTTTAATTTTCCTCAATAGTCTCTGATGTGGGACCCTGTCAAAAGCCTTACTGAAGTCCATATACACAATATCATATTCATTACCATGATCTACCTCCTCAAATACCTTAGTGAAAAAAGTTAATAAATTCGTAAGGCAGGAACGCCCCTTTGTAAAACCATGCTGAGATTCGTTGATTAATTTATGCTTTTCAAGGTGGCTACGAACTGCCTCGGCAATTATTGATTCCATAAATTTTCCCACTATGGAGGTTAGGCTTATTGGTCTATAGTTCGAAGCTAAGGACCTGTCACCTGTTTTGAAAATAGGTATCACATTTGCCATTTTCCACTTATCTGGCACCATGCCAGTTTGTAGTGATATGTTGAAAAGATTAGCCAAAGGTGTGCTAAGCTCCTCTTTACATTCCTTTAGAACCCTTGCATACAGTTCATCAGGGCCTGGGGATTTGTTAGGTTTTAATTTATCTATTTGCCTAAGGACCATGTCACTTGTGACCCTAATAGTACACAGTTTATTATCGTCCTGTTCTACATAATTTATCATTACTGGAATATCGCTGGTATCCTCCTGTGTAAAAACTGAGAGGAAGTATGTGTTAAAAATTCTACACATTTCCTTATCACTGTCAGTGAGCTGACCCGAGGAACTTTTGAGTGGGCCTATCTTGTCCCTGATCTTACTTCTGTATACCTGAAAGAATCCTTTTGGGTTAGTCTTCGATTCTCTTGCAACTTTAACCTCAAAACTTTAAGGGTGATGGACTGATTACATCGTCTTCAAGTATCTTCTGCTTCTATCAACTTTTCTGTACTCGACTGAAGAAGCCTACTGTGTAGGCGAAACGTTTCAAAATAAAGATACCTAACTGTTGCATATGTGTCTTACCTAACAATCTGTCGGTATTTTATACCATTTTAATGTTCATATGTGTCTTACCTAACAACATAAGAAAGAAAGAACACTGAAGCAGGCCTACTGGCCCATGCGAGGCCACCCCATATCCATCCTCTAAATGATGTCCTTTGTCTTTTACATAAGATGAAAAGCCTTGGTTATCACATCTTGAGTGATATTTTTCAGGGGGGGGGGGGGAGATAACCCACCGAAAGACCTTGGTTATTGCATCATATTAGCTGATACTTATTTTTCGGGGGGGGGGGGGGGGTAATAAACCAGTGGAAGGCCTTGGTCAGATGACCAAAGCCTCACCAAGCGGGTATCACATGACTCAGACCCGTGTCAAGAGAAATTTAACCGTTTCTTGTAACAAATAAAATAGCACCACCAGCTCATGCATAATTCACAGTGAATTTGTAGTCAGGAAAGGACTGTTGTGTGGCCTTATCCTCCTCGAGGAGGCCCCTTGATGCCTTTGAGGGGCTCTTGATGCAAGGAATTGAACCTGTCCTCCTTTTCCTTGGATCAAACCTTATTGCCTCCTCTTCCCCCAGGCGCTGTAATGTTTTACTTTGAGAATTAAATGTGTAATCTATTAATTCATGTAAGCTTTATCTGTCAACCATACTAGCGATTTTTTTGAACTGAAATATTTTCATAAGAAGAAACACTGCAGTAGGCCTATTGGCCCATGCGAGGCAGGTCCTATTCTCCCACAAGCCAATGCCTTGACCTAGTCAGGTCAGTCACATTCACTTAGTGTATATAAATTTAGCTTTTCATATGCCTTTGTTGCGAATTGGAGCATTTAGAAATATTTAAATAACACTATTTACCCTGTCTCTATGATCCATGAAAGTTTGGCCATTGATTTAGAATTTAATAATAATTCAGCCTTGGCCTAGCCACCTAGAAAAAATAAGGGGCAACAGGCACCGTACTTCAAATATATTATTTTCAGATACGTATTGACTTTGACCTTGTCACTAACATATAACTTTGTGAAGATGAAGAATATTTTTAATTATTGACCCTGGAGGGTTGTAACCCAGGGATAAACCACCCAAGAAAGCCAAACAGTGAGGCATATTTCCATTGGGGTAAATCGGTCCTCTTCAGGATGCCATCCACAGCAGTCTGCTAGCACCCAACAGGACATCTTATAACTTTTTTTTTTTTTTAAGCGGTCGCCAGAAAACGCAAGCACTCGAAGTTAATAATGCGCCTCTTGTGGCCAAATACGTCTCGCCTTTCCCCATGCCCCTATTCACCCCGCCCCCCTTCCCGTATTGAACCGGTCCTTGATTTGTAATCCAAAAGCCCTACCACTGAACTGCTAAGTAAGTTTATTTAGGTACAGGTACACATAAATACAGTTACTTAAGTTATCATACATAGTTACATATCTCTCGGTA